GTCTCCAAGATGTCTGAACACATCAGGTAACATTCCTGCACGTCCAACATGGCCTATGAAGAAAGACTGCACAGAAGACCTCCCCTCTCTGTCCAAACCTTTCCCTTATCCACTATAACCATCAACCACTATGAGGAAGCTAAAGGATACAAAATACCTAACTAAATTAGACCAGTCACTCACACCTGCACAGTAAAGGCTACAGTGACTTTCATCTCACCTTAGCCTCATTATACCATCATTATAATATCATATATATGCCTGGAAGTTCATTAATATCATTATTACAGACTGAATCCTGGAAAAGAACATGTGCAGTCTAAAGAATGAGGTAATAGCCTCTTGTCAATCACAGGTGCCAATCAAGTGGCCCCACACCTAGGGAGGAGTAGCCCATTCTAGAGAAGAAAATAAAAACTCCAAGTCCTCGCCAGTTGGCACCTTTTGAGCCACGCTGTTGCTCAGGCCTGCTCCTATCTCTTTGGAGTATACTTTTGCTTCTAATAAACTGCTCTTTCACCACTGTATTTTTGTGTCTCATTCAATTCTTTGCTCGAGACGCCCAGAACTGGGACGCCATGCCAAGAAGGGTCTGTTCTCTGTTCTCTGGTAACAGTGTCACTCAGTTCTTCCTACCTACGACCTGTATTTCTCTCTATGCCTGCAAAGTGAAGCCATGTAAGACTGGCCTGATCTCAGCACCATTATTACCTCTTCCCAGAGTGTTCCCACAAAAGATTTACAGCCAGTCTTGCCTTTTCCTCCACACACCTCCAATGACTGGCTGGGCTCAATCAATTCCTGGGTATTTTCCCACAACAGAAATCTTTAGGGTAACTCTGTAAAACCTGCGTCAGCCTCTGTAACCAAGACGATCCACTTCATTAACTTTAATTGCATTCCCATCATTTCCAATAAATACCTTTCCAAAATGCCACCTCCAAGACACGTAGCTGCTTATCNTGCATTAGTATACAAGCCTTGTTTCAGAGAAATACTCATTTGAAATCCAGGCTCTTCCTTTGTAGCCAGCATCTGGTGAAAAAACAAAACCAAACAAAACTGTTCTACAGGAAAAGAAAGAGAAACACCTGACACTCACCTGTGGCACCTGCTTAGTGAAAAGCAAATGTATTTTTCTTCTCTTTCTTTTGTTACCAGATAAATAAAGAGGCCACTGAGATTTCACAGGCTGCCCTGGCTCTGCTGTGGGCAGAGAAACAAGCACAATTCCCGTGGGCAAAACTGAGTGAGTTTTCCTCTTTTTCCACCGTTGTTCCAATGGCTTTGGATTTCTATTTCACCTCATTTTTTCCTCTACCAACCCTCTGAACTTCCCAGGGCCCTGTTTGAAAATTCATGGGTCAGCATAACTCTGCTTTAGGATCTGGAGCCAAAGTAAAGTTTGTGTGGTTGGTGTTGCCACCTTACCCTCAGATCTGGGCTCTGGCTTGGCACCAAGCTGACATTTAACACATGTCAAGAGCAAATGACAAAGAGTCAGTGTGACCTAACACTGCAGTTCCCAAATGCCAGACTCTCTCAGGGCACGGTAAACTGGGTCACTCTTCCTGAGTTGGATGCTTTGGGGGGAAACCTTGAACTTGTCTGGGGCCTGGCTAAAGAGGGCAATGTCTGAAGTTGAGAAGGGGGATAGAGAGAGGGAAGCTCTACCAGCCATTGTGAAAAAGGCAGCATTTTGGGGGTGTACAACAAACTCCCACACCCCTCAGTCAGGCAGACCCAGATGAGCTGAGTGGCAACACCATCTTCTATTCCCTCCAGGCACCCCACAGACTGCATCTTTCTTCTATGATTTTCCTGCTCATCACACTGCCACTGTGTTCTTTTAAAGAAGGTTTCAGCTGCTAATATTGTTTAATAAAAAAATGCACAAGGAATTGATTGATTCATACTTCCCAGCGGTAACTCTGCCCTGTCAGAGCCTCTCTTGGTGGATTTTCTTTATTAAGGGTGGTGAGAATCTTCTTGAGCTCTCAAGTCACTCCCCAGTTCCTCAGCATTTTTCTAAGTACAAAACGACAGGAAACCTCTCCTTATATTCCTTCCTTGCTCTCTAATTTCTAGGGGAGCTGAGAATGCATATGCTGTTACTCACGGGCCCTTGGGGCAGGGCTCTGTTGGACTGTTTTTAAATCAGGGCAGTAACATCTGTGAACATACCGGTGATTGCTGTGCCGCCGCCAAAGACAGATGCCTGGTAGCCACATAGGTCCTTCCTGAGAAGCACTTCTAAGACTGCTCTTCATGTTTGAAGAAGAGAGGCTAGGAAAATAGCAAATGCAGGGTGAGAGGCCCTTCATCAAATCCCGTTGAGAACAATTGCCCTCATGCACTGGTTCTTAGAATTTGGTGTGCATCAGACTCACCAGGACGGCTTGTTAAGACACGGGTCACTCCCNTCCTCCTCCTCCTCCTCCTCAGTTTTTCAGATCTGTGCTTCAGGACGCTAGAAACAGACAACATTTGCTAACCCCTCAGTTAACAAGTGCTACCTGGGCATGCACTCTAGGCCAGGCACGTCTGGGCCCCGGATGTAGAGATAAACAAGATGGATAAAGCTGCCCTCACAGAGCTTACGTTTTACAGGAAAACTCGAAATAATAACATAAAAAAGGGGGAGCCACATCCAAATGAGGTTGGTATCATGCTAGCAACATTCACTGCCTACTCTTCCAAGCACCCCGCAGTCTGAAGTCCAACGCATTTATTTGGATAAAGGCTACTTATCTCGTGTTAAAGTGTCTAATCTTAGGGGTGTCAATATTGGTAATGTACACCTCAGTGGGAGTCATTTCCTGAGAGCAGATTATCTGACCCTGAAGGAGAAAAGGGGAGGGAGGGAAGGTACACCGAAGAGGAAACGGGGTGAGGGGATCTGATTGCAGTCTTGCCACTTTCAGGAAAGCGGAGGCCATGAAGATGGGTGGGGGTGGGGCGGGGCCTGGGTGTGCAGTTGACACTACAGTGGAGAATGGGCATGACAGTGGGATCACGCTTCGCGCACTTCTTTTAGGTTTCCACGCACTGATCTTGGTTCTAGCAGTTTTCCCAGAGATCTGAAAACCAACGTCACCCTCCCTTCTCCTTCCCTCTCTCAGCGCATGCTTTCTCTTCTGTGATTCAGAAGTGAATTCATTTTTTAAGTGTAATTTAAATGTTCCCAATGCCATAAGGCTTGATAAATATTTATTGGATGAATCGAATGAATGAACAAATGAATGTAAAATGTGTTACACATGGGTGCCACTTAGCCATCCACACTGGGGTTTCACTCAACAGCAAATTGCCATGGCAACGGCCAGATCCAATCCCCTGCCTTGGTTGTGTTCCATTCCCATCTTCACCTCTGGGCCGCAGCACTTGGAAGGAGATGGGCCCTGGATCTGAAAGTATTTGAGCCAGGGCGTGAAAGACAGGATCTAGCTGCCAATCTGGCTGATTTGGGAGGGCCAATACTGTGGTAATCGTGCAACCCTCTTGTAGAGAGGGAAGGAATCTTTGATTTTTCTGAAGGAAGGAGAGAACCAGGAGAAAGAGAAACAAGCTCGGATGGCAACAATTTCAAACACCAGGCAGGTGTTTAACAACTGAGTTGAATGTCATATAATTCAATTGAATGCTTATAGGAGTCTCCCCACCTCCTGCCCCTCCACCCCCCAAGCCAGACTCAGTTGTCTTTTAAGGCTCTTGAACTCCAGCAAGTAAAGAAGCTTGACTGTTTGTAGACCATTTAGAGACATGACAGCAATCACAATAATTCCTGGAGTGTATATCCTCCCCTCCCGCAAACCTCACCCAGCAACGTGGATATTCTAATCCCTTCCTCACCCTAGCCATATCTGGCGCCCGCCTTTTATTGTTCCCCTAACAACTTGAGAGCAAAAGGATGGGAATGGGAAGGCTGTGGAAGGGGTAGACAAAATGAATTATTGCACAGGTGTGAGACTGGCAGAATTGCCACAGTAGAGTGTAGAGGGGCTTGATCTTACATGGACTTTTTTTGTATTTCTCATGTTCATCTCTCCTGATATTCTGCGCTGTGTTACTTCTCACATCTGCACTAAGCAGACAGTTGAGCATTGATAACTCTTCCCATTGTTAGAAAGATAGCTCAAAAAAGAGCAAAGAGTGAAGAGTGACTTTTCCTAAATCATGAGGTTTGACCAACATTATTTTTAGATGCTTTGCATTTTTACTCTGTTATTGTTTCCAGGATTCCAATGGTACCAGTGATGTCACTGGAACCAGGTGACACTCACAGAGAACATGCTGTTATTTTGTTTTAAAAAGTCCAGTCTTAATACGTGGTATAGTTGAGGCATCGGGTCCCACCTTCTACAATTTTCCTCATTCTACTCCACATGTATTTTTTTGTCAAGATCCTTTTTTTATTGTAGTTTAGTTCCCTATGAAGAGTGAATAAGTTATAGAACACACCCCTATGGCGTATCATGCAATAATTTTCAACAATTATGCAAAAATAATTATTTTACTTTTAAAGATTTTATTGGGGAATTGGGGAAGGGGAACAGCCAAGTTGTTGTCCTTCAATCTTAGTTGTGGAGGGCACACCTAGCTCCAAGTCCAGTCGCCATCTGGCCGCCCATCGGCAGCTCTCGGCCACTCAGCTCAAGGTGCCGTGTTCAATCTTAGTTGCAGGCAGGCATAGCCCACCATCCCATGTAGGAGTTGAACTGGGAACCTTGTTGTTAGGAGCACGTGCTCTTACCAGCTGAGCCATGCTGCTGCCTGTTGGCAGCTCAGCTCAGGTGCAGCTCATTGGCTCATGTGGGATTTGAACCTGTGACCCTGTTGCTAAGAGCTCACACTCTTAACCAACTGAGCCACTTGGCCGGTCCCCAAAATAATTTTTTTAATTGTCCAATATTTATTGTGCATGAACTGTGTTCCAGGCACTGATCTAGGCCTTTGGAAAACTGAACAGGCAGATGAAAACTTCCACATACATTCTAGTTGGGGAGAAACAGTAACTACTAAACACTATAAATTAAGAAAATTATGTACTGTGCCAGAAGGTGACAACTACTGTGAACAAAATAAAGTGGAGGAAAGCGGAAGATAGAGGGGAGACTAGTGTTTTCATTTTAAAGTAGGGTTTGCAGGGTGGGCCACACTGAGGAAGTGACATTTGACCAAAAGGTTGAAGGAAATGGACAAAGTCATTGTGAGATCCGTGCAAGGGCACCCCAAACAGAGGCAGTGGGCTGTAGCAAAGGCCCTTGGTGGGGGCAGAGTGGCTGGTGTGTTTGAGAAACACGAGCAGGGGGCTGGGGCTCGGCCTGGAGCACAGGATGCACTGGAAAAGGAGTAGTTGGTGAGGGGCTCAGAAGAGGCAATGGGACAGGGCTTGTGGGGTGGGGTAAGGACTTTGACTTTGAGGCAAAGAGGAGAGTTTAGAGGTTTAGGCAGAGAAGGGACGTGCATCTTTTGTTTTAGAAAAACCCCAATGGGCACAGGAAGCCCACTTAAGGTACTCCGAGAATCCAGGCCAGAGATGTTACTGCTCAGACCTGGGTGGTGACCGTGGAGGGGCTGAGTGGCCAGATTCTGGGTGGGTTGTGAAAGTATCGCTCATGGGATTTTTTTGATGGATTAGATATGTGGTAAAATTTGAAAATCTCAATATCATGTACAAGAGTGTACTTGCTTGGTTACACTGAAGCATGGTAGGTAGAGAACGCACCAAAGTGTTATTAATAGTTTACTGGAGGGCAGGGAGGGGAGAGGGGAGGGGAGTTTGGGCCTTATAGGTATACATTTCAAAGCTGTTTGGCCTGTTGCAAACACACTGCTGCTTTCTGTAGTTTGCAAGCAAAAATTAATAACTTATTTGTAAAAGAGATTATCCCTGATGCTCCTTAGACTTGCCCTGACCTATGTTTAAACATTGGTGGGGCTCACTGAGTGACTAGTCCCTGGCACATTCCCAATCCCCGAAGCATAGCTTTGGCTGTCTGTATTGGATTTCTTCACCTTCTGCCAAGCTCGCGCTGCAAGAAGCAGCGCATACCCTTGGCCCCATATATATTAAACACAAATAAAGAGAAGAAAATGTCACCTCTGAACACTTTTGCTGCCTCTGGTGGCACTCACAGGAATGCCTCAAGTCATCTGGGTGGCCTTATGTCTGTGGCTACACAGTTGCTTCTTAATCTCTGGTGTCATTAACACCGAAAAAAGAATGAAGTGTGATATGTCCCAGCC